TAAATTTGCACAAGTACATTGCTGATTTCTAAAGCTGACTATCCCTTTTTCTGCCCTGTAATATTGACTTTTCTTAGAAACACCTACAGCTGGAATCACTGTCAAAGTTTGATGCAGAATAAACTTACATTCAGTTACTCAAACTTGTTTTCTCGGATAAGTAATCAATTTTAAAAAGAGTTTGTAAATTAAAAGCATGCAGTTTGACTTTCATTGTGGGGGRAAATTTGTCAGTGTTTTTGTGGAATTTTTGCACATTACCATTCTAATAGTTGGCAAGAAAGTTGACAGAAAATTATCAAAAGCTATGATTTTTAAACAAAGTAGGTTTTTTTTTTCTTACGTTATGAAATCGGGACTCATACAGAAGGAAATTTTCCGACTGTTTTAAACGCATCACAGGAATGGTGGGAGAGGCTCCTGCCGGTTTGTTGACTCAGTCTGAGCTACGAGCCGTAGCAGCCACTGGCGGAGTAGCTAGCTCTCTGTTTACCAGTTCAGGCAGTTCAGTTGGCAACATTTGTAGYTGTCGCTAAATTTATTTATGTATAAAGCCGATGTTCTAGTTGAAGAAGACCGCTTACAAAGTAATTACGCGTGTTCGGGTTCGTAAGCAAGCTCGGTTTTTAGCCACAAAAGATCGAAAAGATAAAACGACTGGAGGTGGAGTTCCTCCGGAGTGCGATGGCTAATGCTAGGGCTGACCAGACGTAGCCTACGGAGCTGGCCAGCAGCGTACGACATGGACGAGTTTATTTTTCCCCCGAAGCTTTAGATAAATTACAGTGTCTTGCGTGCAGTGTCGGAACCGGAACATTGGATAGCAGTTTTCTGTCCGCTTCTGGGAGTCACTGAAACGGTCTCTGGTCCTGGCTGGAGCGCTGGCCTTGGAAGTTAGCAGAAGGCTACCGAGCTGCACTTCGGGCTCGTATACGAAAGTGGGTATTTAACTCGTTTACTATTTCATTTCTTTGGGCTATTCTTATTATTCCAAACCTTTCAACTCGGGCTGAATTACGTTTCCACAGTCAAAAACACTGCCAGCATGGCAGGTTTGTGAGTTTGCTAGCGTTAAGTTAGTTTAGCTCCTAAGACCACGGCCTGATGAGTTTGTTTTGCAGCTAAAGTTTTTTTTCTGTATATGACCTGATGTGTTCAATGTTACTCAACAAAGCAACCTTGGACTGAGTTTAAACCTTTCTGGCAGTGATGACTTTAAAAAAAAAAAAGTACTACAGTGGTGGAAAATTGTTCGATATTTTACAGAAATACTGCTGTTTACAAATACTTTATTTCCAGTTAACTCCCAGCTAATTGAAGCCAACTTGAGTAAAGCTGCAAAAGCAAACATTATTTAGTCCCTTTTGGTGATAAGAGACATGATTAGAAATGTTATAAGCATTTTGTATAACTAAGCACGTTTTTATTTAAGGTTATATTTAGTGGATATTTAGATATCACAGATGAGAAGGAAATGCGACATTGCAGGTTGTCACTGAAATAACAGTGTGATGTATTTTATTTATATTAAAATTAATCACTAAAGGTCACATAACGTTTTAGACAGCTTATGAAAAGTTTATCCAACACTAAAGATGTCTAAGCTGGAAAAAAAAACAATCTGCTGGAAGCATATTTTGGACCTATACAAATTGCAATGTTTAGCTGATATGAGTAAAATAGTTATAACAAAATTTTCATAAGTCAGCATAAGTTTGAAATGTTATAGTCTGACAGGGACTTAAAGACAAAAATATAGTTGCCTCTGAAAGTAAAMGTGAATTAGATAAATTTATTTAAACTTTAGTCACTTTTTGTCACAATTTTAAATACAATTTTGATATTTTATTTACTCAAATCTACGTCCAGCAATATAATTAAAGATGTGTGAGGGTTTTTATTTATTTTTTTTTATTTTGTGTGTGCTTAAAATGAGCTTAAAGGGAATTATTAAACTTAAAAGCTTATGGAAGTCACTAGACACCTCTTGGTCACCATTTTTGCTGAAAAACAGAATTTACCTGTGTAATAATGTGTTTGTTGCTACTAGATCTTCTTTCGCTGTTTTATGGGAAATTCCATTGCAGCGTGTCCAAACTCATCAACCATACAAATGATAATATTTAAGTAAACAGACAACAAGTTCAGTATCTTGTTTGTTTAGTTCCTTTACACCATTAAAACAAACACAAAAATGCTCATAAATGGTCGTTCTTGACTCGATGCTTTTAACTTTTTTTCTAATCCCGCGTGTCTTTTTATCTGAACTATGTAATTTTCACTTGTGTAACTGCATTTCTGAGAGGTTATGCCTTTTCACTTTGAGAACTAATACTATATTTACCGTAGATTTGAGCAAAATTAGGTTAGTTGTTCCAGCAAGTTTTGTCTCTAAAGTGAGTTTTAAACTTTAAACTTTCCAGAGGTGTTTCCGTTGGATAGTACTTGTTGAAATATCTTTGCAGCAATCCATCAAAGTGTGTAGTTTGTGTGTGAAGCTGCTGATAGGGAAAAAGATGCTTTAAAACATTAAATTCAGTGTTGTTTGGTAACACAAAAACAGTTATCGAGAAGCCTCATCTGCTATCTCATTATGTTGTTCACAAAACAAATCAATTTCCATCGTTTATATTTTGCGTCACATCTTGTGCTACAGCAACGCTCCCTCGTGCTCTGTCCCTCGCATTTCTGGCTTCAAAGAGCGTTTACACCAGCAAGTTTCCTGCTTTGAAGCGCAAGTGTGAACAAATAATTCAGAAAAGGAAAAAGTCTAGGTGAAACTGCCCACGCATTCGCCTTAAAATTTCCAGTGTTAATGTGTGAAAATGAGCTTAAAATGAGATGCTAAGTAGCTTGGTTACATGTACAAATGAGGTCAGGAGCCCAATAATGAGGACTTTGGTTGCGTGTGGGAGGGAGCAACCGGAATACTTCAAGTTTTGAATATCCCCAAGTTAAATGTTGCATGTAAAATACTGTGCTTTAGGCAACTCTCTATCAGCAGTTTGATATTTTTCTGCGTTTAAAGAAGTTTTCAGTTTCAAAATGGGCTTTCAGTACCTTTTTATGAAAACAATATTTCGAGGCAATTTCAAGCAGCATTGAATCCATTAAACAGATGATTAGAAAAAAGCTGTCATAATGAAAAACATTATTTTTTTAAAGATAACAAAATGACAGTGTTGGGGTAAAAAAATCTCTTTGCTTCATTTAGAAAGAAAATCATGACTTTCTTTCATAATTATCACTCAGAATTAGATTTACAGATTTTATAACCATTTTTCTAGACAATGGTTCCTCTGTGCTGCAGCTTTATGCAACACGTTCAAACACAGAGCGACCGTTCAAACCGTGTGTTCTCTGATTGTGATATTAAGTTTATACGACTATGAAGCAGCTATCCTTCTCAGGGCTGACATTTTGCTTTTAATCAAATTCAGGGCGCATGTTGCTGATGGCTTCTCTGCCCGCTATGGACACCGCGACTGACTCCTGCCCTGCGGTGCACCAAAATGGGACCGCTCATCGGGAATCTTCAGACACGAGACCGGCAGCGCCTGTTCTGACTATTCATTTCTATCACAGCAGCCAGGGAGCAGCCGACTGCGGCTTCCTCAGCTACCCACCTGGGGACTACGTGGCTGAGGAGCTGTGCATAGACGCAGCTAAGGCGTGCTGTGAGTGATCCCAAACGTGCAAACCTGCATGAAGCGCTCCATTCGTACTTTACAACCCTGTGCTTCCCCTAAGTTTCTGGCCTTAGGATGTCAACGAGTCATGGAATTTTACTAGATAAAACAAATAATACGTTTACCTTCTTATTTAATTATTTGAATGAAAGACGTGACTCACACTGCCAGGAATAGACAAAAGGGCCATAAACAGGAAATTTTTTCATGTCTCCACTTAGATAATTCTCATAAAAACGCTGCACCCAAAAGCTTTTCATAGTCACCACAAGGATATCCATCTGCAAAAGCTTGTTTCTTTTTTTTTTTAATTATTGAATTTCTTTTGCTCTGTGTGGGTATAAGCAAGATATGTTATCTCTGCTTCGTTCCTTTTTGGAGTAAAGGTTTAATTTGTGAGTCGTTGCAAATGTGACACTGCTAATGAACCGCTGGGTCATGCGGGGAGGGACTAGACTTGCCTGCATGTTATGGGTTTTATGATAAACCAAAACACACCTGACATTTTAGACAAACTTTATTTACCATTTTCTTCACTCGTATTAGTACCAGGGGTAGACATAAGGATGTTTTTACAGCTGTTGACAAAACATTTTGGTTGTCCAAAAGAATCTCACAAAAAATCTAATTTAACAAGTATATTGTTCTGTAGACAAAGTTTATTATTAGGCCTGTCACGATAACAAATTTTGCTGGGCGATTAATTGTCTCACAAATTATTGCGATAAGCGAAAATATTTCCTGGTGACCATTTTACAACTAATAATTATAAAAGCGTAATATTTAAGTGTAATAAATCAATAAACTTTAATTTTTAAAGAATGTTTAACAAAGTGGACTCTCAGTCTAACAAAAATGCACTTGAATAAAAAAAACCAAAGAACAACAAAATGTAAACACCACACACAACTAAGACAGTAAATAAACAATATTAAAGAGCAGCATCTCTTTAGAGATGAAGCAAACCMCACAGCCTGGTGAGGACCCACTGTTTCTTATGGGGACATAAGCCCAGTTCACATCCCATGTAAAGTKTAGGCTAGGTTTAGGGTCAAATGGTAATAGAAAATACTGGTAAATGAATGAAAATCAATGCAAATTCCCCATGAGGATAGAAGAACAAACGTGTCTATGTGTGTGTGTGTGTGTGGAACAGTCAGAGCGCTGCGGGAGGAAATCAGACAGTTCAGAGTTTTCCTCATGAGTTGTTGGGACAGCTACAGGTTTTTTGGGTGTTATGTTAAAACACAGATGGTGCGTTTAAGTTTCCTGTTATTTTTGGGAGCTACAGGTAAAGTCTTGACGACTTTGTCGCGGGTCTGGGGGAGTTTCAGCCCCCACCCCTTCTCCTCCTCTCTCTCTGTCTCTCTCTCTCTCCCTCCCTCCGTGTGAGTGTCTCCCCACAGCGAAATTCAAGCTCTGGTGCTCCGACACTGCAGCAGCCGCGTTCTGCTTTGAAACGTTTCTTTAGTTTGTTATTGCTACGAGCTCTCATGCTAAAGCGAGAGTTCACTCCTCCCGACACTAAGAAAACAGGAGGGGAGGAGTTAGCTGAGCTCCTGTGTAGCGGAGCACAGAGAGGGAGAGAGACGAAGTAAACAAACAAGCAGGAAAATGACATTTTTTTACCGACCTCAAAATTTTTTATCGTGCAGTTAATTGATTTATTTACTATCGCGACAGGCCTATTTATTAAATATAATTGTTCTCAGTCAGCCAGGTTTACAGGAGCTGCGTGAATAAAATTTCCTCCTCCTCTTCTTTGAAATGGAGTATTTAAGGCTCAGGGAGTAAAGCAGCAGAAATGTTGTAATAAAATCTAGAGGTGACCCAACATTCATAAACTTCTTTCTGCTCACAGGTCAAACATTTTCACTTAAATAGGAGTGTACTGTGTACACGACCTTATTAAAAGTTACAGTTTAGTGTTCTGTTCGGCTTTACCAAGTTTTTTCTCCCTTTTCATTTTTTACAAATGACGGATACCCGTGGCAGAGAACTTTAAAGGGCCAATATTATGTATTTCTCGGGCATACATTTAAATACTATACCATAGTAAAGTTTCTATGTCAACTTCAGCTGTTATTAAAATGGTGTTTTTATGTTAAAATAGAAAATAAACTTATCTTCTCATCACTTCCTCTTCTRAAYGCCTTGAAATTGGCCTCTTGTCTATTTAAGAACCAACTTCGCTTCTGTCCCRTCCCATTTCAGTGCGGGGGGGTCGCACTCGTGGGGGGCTTCGTGCATGCGCTATGATGCAGTTTACTTTGAATCTGAAAATACATTTCCTCAAAGGTATTTTTAACCTGAATAGAGCTTCACTGAGTAAGAACTAATGATGAGCTCAGCAGACAGTTAGGTTTCACTTTCACCCGAGAGCCTGCAGGAGTCATGGGCGGGGTGTGTGGGGAGGGGGGAGGGGGTGCACTCTGCCATGAGGAAGTTCGGCTTAAAGACACGTCCCAGGGGCGTTTCAGGTCCCCACCTGTTGTTTTGCTCCTCAGTATGGCTTCCTAAAAAACGCTGCAGGATTTCTCAAACATGCATGAATGAGTCAGAGCAAGGCTTTGGGCATGTTTTTTATGAGAGTATAACATTATAACATGATATAAAACTCAAAAGTTGATTTTACATGATATTGCCCCTTTAATCAAGGTCTTTTTTTTCTTGGTTGTCCAGTGGACAACCAGGAGACAGGATCTGGTTGTCCAAAATGAAAAYAGGYTGTCTCGGACAACCTAAACAATGGTTATGTCTACCCCTGAGTACTAAAAACAAGTAGTTTTCTTATCCGTGTCCCGAGGCCCACTCCATTAAAGTGCGTGCACATTTGAGCATGCACTGAGTAACGTCCATGGGTGCACTGTGGATAATTTTTTGTTGTTGTTGTTGTTTGGCACTTAATTTATGTTACGCTACCAAATGTGATGCAAGCATTCCAAATGTAACATGATTTCTCTGTTTTTGAAACACTCCAGGTATATCACCTCTGTACTTCAGCCTTTTTGGTCTCTTTCGGGAGCGAGACCGCATGTGGTTTTCTCCTAATCACATCTTCCGGCTTGATGAGTTGTCCTCTGAAGATGTGTTTTTTAGAATACGGTACTATACTTGGTTTTTTTTGTGAGTGTGTTTATTTTCACATTAAAACTTGAATATCGTTGTTCAATCTTTTTTTTTTTCTTTTTTTTTCTACTTAATACTGCAGCTACTACTTCCCTGGCTGGTACAGTAGCGGAGCATCTCGTGCTTATCGTTATGGGGTCAAAAAAGGGTCAGAAAGCCCCATCCTTGATGATTATGTAATGTCCTACCTCTTTTCTCAGGTAAGCATGTTCACAYAAAGCATTTTCTTTTTATTGTAAAGTGTAGTATAACCCATCTCACCCTAGTTTGATTCTACATGGTTTGGGTGCTTTTTCATATGTGAGTACGATTGTCATAGCAAGGCTGCTCGACACCCCTCTGTTAYATTTTAGCGACACCCAACAATGGAGGATGTGAATGTCATGGAATGCCTTATAAATAAGTTAAAAGTGAACCAGAGAGGGCTTACAAAAAATATGGATAAAAGAAAGTCGATTTACCGGTCGATCTACGTTCCTAYCCTCATCTATGGTCATGAGCTTTGGGTCATGACCGAAAGAACGAGGTCCCGGATACAAGCGGCCGAAATGGGTTTCCTCCGCAGGGTGTCTGGGCTCTCCCTTAGAGATAGGGTGAGAAGCTCGGTCATCCGGGAGGGACTCAGAGTAGAGCCGCTGCTCCTCCACGTCGAGAGGAGCCAGTTGATGTGGCTCGGGCATCTGGTAAGGATGCCTCCTGGATGCCTCCCTGGTGAGGTATTCTGGGCACGTCCCACCGGGAGGAGGCCCTGAGGAAGACCCAGGACATGCTGGAGAGACTATGTCTCCCTCGGCTGGCCTGGGAACGCCTTGGAGTTCCCCCGGAGGAGCTGGAAGAAGTGGCTGGGGAGAGGGAGGTCTGGGCCTCCCTTCTGAAGCGGCTGCCCCCGCGACCCGACCCCGGATAGGCGGAAGAAAATGGATGGATGGATGGAAAGTCGATGTGGCTGTAGAAAACAGCAGATGAAACGGTCGCTGTCTTGACTTGTCTAGTGACTTGGCTCCTTGACCAATCAGTGGTCTGCAGTCTGCTGGTGTGAAATTATAAGCTTGATTCAACCCATCAGAACCTGGTTAGWTAGGTCTTTAGAATAGTGCAGTTCCTTTGTTGTACTCAAGCTGAAATTAGAGCTATAGTTTGTTGAGTTCAATGTGTATACTGTAAGAGCACTGAATGTCCCAGTATTTTAGCTTCATGTTAGCCTGGCCCTTGCCTTCCTACGCAGCTCCGCTCAATTCTAGTTTCCCTTCWCTGCTCCCTCTGGCATTTCTCCCATAGASAAGGATTTCGCTGGCAGATTTTTAGGCGGTCCAATCAGAGAACAGAATGTCGATTTTCTGCGCAGTGTCTGTTTGTAGTTTATTTTACCTGGACCAATCAGAGAACAGAAGGAGTAGTTTTGAACGACGTCGATTTTCTGCAAAGTGCCTGCTAGTTAGTTTAGCATATGGCAGTGGAGGAAGTGAATGAAGCCAGTCTGTGTTGATAAGGCTTCCAAATTTTTGTCTGAGAAAGCAGCAGCTCTCATTTACAGTCATCTCGTTCGGCTCRGTACTGTTCTCCTCTCAGTAGGGTTGTTTACAACACACGCGATTTCCGGTTAGCTTCTTAGCTTAGCCTCCTTCACAGYGACATACACACTCACACTTCAACAGAGGCCACGCCTCCTGCAAGAATCGCTTCTCAATAACAGCGAGTCCAGACCCGCCGTCCGAAGCAAAGTGAAGGRTAAGGGTCTGKTTTTARCCAGGCTAGCTTCATGTCAGAAAAATCACAATATCACTAAAAATGTGATTAGACTGAGTTGGTTCACAGTTTCAGTTTTTAACTCCACTAAACCTCACTGAAAACAAGAAATAAATGAAGAAAGTTATAACTTTTTTTTTCTCCTTCCTTTTAAAAATCATGAGGCTGCTCCGGCATAGATGTTGATTTTTGCACGCAAACGTTCACTTTAGTTAAAAACAAAAGCTAGACGAGTACACAAAACTGAATCCCCACACTTAGTGCTCTCCGTGGCTTCGGCTGCGCTGCCATTGTTCAGATTCATCACCGCTTCCTGTCTTTGTCTGAAACAATCAAAGAGCCCTAACCCTRCACAAAGGACATTTCCCTCATTTAGAACTGGTGCATTCAGGATGCCTGTAAGAACCATTACCTTTCACGGCAAAGTGGAAAGCTTATCTAGATTTGGCAAATTATCAGGGATATTCTGACCAGTGATGCGTGAGCACATTTTTGTGTGGAATTCTGACAATGTCTGCTTGGTACCTATTGAGATGAAAGTCACACTAAAACTATATTATTTGGTCTTAAAGTCTTTTAAAATAGAGGGAATCTTTTTGYCAAATAGTAGCCTAAAAGAGTAATGCTGTGAGTTTAATACATTGAAAATATTTGTATATTTGAACATCGATGTTCTTTCTGTAGATTGAAGACAGTAGATGCATTTTAAAGAGTATGTTACATTAAATGTTTACATTTGTAAGGTCTGTAATCTGTAAGGTACTTTTTGAACCCGTTACTTCTTATTGRGGTTTCAAAGATGCCTTGAAGTTTATAAAAGAGAGGAAAAATGCAAGAAATGAAACCTAGCTTGTAGAAATTGAACTTCAATGTTATGAGTTTTTATTTGGCCAAATKAACCACGATAAACAACACAGATTAATTTATGTTGGATTACAGAAAATAATGTACTCAGCTCAGAATCGCACACGTTAACTTTCCATCACTCTAACTTCAACACGTTCCTAGATGCCTAACAGTTTTTTCAATAGATAGTCACAATAACTGTTATCTTAAAGCTGGTATACAAATACATGTATGTAACAGCATAACAGTTGTGGGCTTTAAAAACAGCAGTTTACAAAAGAGACATGAAMATCCACACTGAATATAACCTTGGTGAATTTGCTATTTATGCACATTACTAGTTGCTTCTTTGTACTTATGCATAATTGTTTTGCTAACKAATTATCTTTCAGAAAATATAGTGTTCAGAATCTTGTAGTAACAAAAACTAAAACTCCTTACCTGYATGGTACAAACTGCTGAGAAAATTAAAAAATACGCTGTATACCAGTGGAGTAAAGGGTAATTTTTCCATTTAATTAATATAGATTTTCAATAGTGTGCCTTCATACCAACTGCCTGTTTTCAGAGTATTTTATTTTCTACTCTGCGCTAATAGTAGAATGTCTGTAGGACAGGGATAGAAAAGTACAGAATATATAAATATGCTTTGACATAAATCAATACTAAGATTGACCTCAATAAACTAAAAGATTTTGTGGAACTGTGCTTTTGGAATTCTATCCTGGTAGAGCAGGAAAAAACTACATGGGAATTGATTTTTTTAAAATTTTGTTTTCTTTTGGCAGCTAGAATTTTGGCCCCTTTCTTTTAGGTCAGAGTACACTATTGATGTGTACAGATTTTTTTTTTTTTTTGTAACGGTACCAATGATAAAATATCTGCAAAGGATAGGAAGAGACTAGTGCAACTTTGGCTTTTTTTTAACAGATAAACCAAGATAGCCTTGTTTGACCTTGGGGGGAAAAAAAGACTACATTCTGTAGAAATGCATGAGGTTTAGGTGGCTCAAACTAAAGTTAGGAATAAGGCTGAAGTTGACCTATTTGTGACCTGAAGGATTATGTGGATTTATGCCTGCAGAAACCTAACCTGACAGCTTGAGGAAAAGCCTAAAAGTGAGAAGGAGAGCACGGCTGAGGAGTCATTTTTGRCACATCATGTTTGCAATTATTAAGTCAGCGCATACGCTTCACTGTGGACAGGTGTTGGCTGTAGTTTTTTATTTTTTTATCGTTTGTTTTTGTGGAACACAACAGAATTACTCCCCTGTGCATGCTCACAGTATGAGACTGAAACAAAGATGTGCTGCAATCTGTTGATGTGCTTGGCTCAGCTTTTTTTCCCCCAGTTGATATTTTTTGGTTATTCTAAATGTGTCTATTGATTTGATTTGGATAATATTTTTATTACATTTAAATTTAAATGTAATAAAAATATTGATTTGATTTGGATAATATTTTTATTACATTTAAATTTAAGTTTTATTTATTTTTATTGAACTTAAAATGACTTTTTGTTTTGAATCAGTTTTTCGCTCGTAACCCGAATTTAGTTCCTTGCAGTTTAATAAAAGTTTAATATCTGTGTTTGTGATAAATACTAAACGTTTTTGCAAAAGGTTTACCTATTTATTTGTACTCATGAAAAAAAGAAACTAAAACTTTCCTGTTTTCAAAGGTTAATAACAAGCAATTCAGCCAGTGAAATTTTTAATTAACATACTTTTTATTTTTTATCACTGCTGCACAATTTATACAAAAGTCTTTCATTTAGCAAGGTTGAGATTAAATATTCTACAAAGACATTGTTGTTGCTTCCAGTTTGTCTTTGCACCCATGGCATGAAATTCAAGTTATTGCAAAATTAGGGGGGAAGAAAAAAAAATCCATTACCTTTCAGTTCTGGTTTGTTTAGTGTTCAAACTGACTTATTAAAGTCAAAACAAGAGCTGCAAACGTGACGTCACTAAACCTGGAAGGAGGCTCAGTCATTGGTTAGTTGTGGTACACAGCCATGCTCTCCTCATATGGACCTGCAGGGGAACAGTGAAAACAAAGTTTGTTCCAGTGACTGCAAGCAAGAGATGTTGTTCCCATGTTCAGCTGTTATTTCTCCTCTCTTGAGGTCAAAGAGCATTTGAAGACCTTCAACAAGGTTATGGCTTAAATACAGTGTTGTATAAAATACCACAAAGTGATACTTGAGTGAAAGTGCAAGTATCTTACCAAATAATTACTTTGGTAAAAGTTAAAGTCTCCTTTAGGAATATTACTTGAGTAAAAATCTTAAAGTATCTGATATTTTTTGTACTTAAGTATTAAAATTAAAAGTATTGATTTAAAATGAGCAGTTAGATTTTCTGTAAGGATGTTTATTAGGAGATGACCTCCCCAAAAAATGCAGAAATGACTATATTGTATTTAAATAATTAATTTATGTTAAATTTAGATGCACTAGACTAGTTGTTTTAGTTTATATACTGTACATACATACATACATTATTCATGAAATACAAATACTTCTTAAGTACAGTCCTTTTATTTTAATGATTATGTCCTGCTGGAGTGTGACATGATTTGTTTGTGTACAAACTAATATGGTATCAGAATTTTAYATATTTATACTTCTCATTCAACAACAATTAAATTCACTCTATAGGAGGCACAATTTATATGAATAGTATTTATTTTTTACAATAACAAGCTGGAATGAAAACAAGCAAAAATGAAATAAAAGTAATGATTTTCTACTTTGTGCCTTTTTTAAAAATGTAAGGAGTAAAAAGTACAGATAATTGCGTGAAAATGTAAGAAGTAGAAGTAAAAAGTAGGCTGAAAAAGAATTACTCAAGTAAAGTACAGATACCCMAAAATTCTACTTAAGTACAGTAACAAAGGATTTGTACTTAGTTACTTTACAACTCTGCTTAAATAAAAATAAACAAGCAAAAATAAATTGTCACGCTTCTGAAATTTAGTTTCATGCAATGTATACAGAGATCCGTATAACTCACATTAGATCTCAGTATTTTATGGAAAATCTACCAAAGTGTACTGAAAAACCTCTTATTCTTATTTCTCTGTGCAGTGGAGAAATGATTTTGTGAATGGCTTCGTGAAGATTTCCGACTCCCACGAGACGCAGGAAGAGTGCCTTGGTTTGGCTGTTCTGGACATGACCAGAACAGCTAAGGAGAAACAGTTGCCACCTCTGGATATCTACCACTCTATAAGGTACTATGAGATAAGAGACATTTTTATCTGTGTTGCTTGTTTTTACTGCTGTATTTGTTCTAAACTAACTTATCTTAACTGTTTCAGCAGCATGCCAAAATAATGTTTTATTAATACGTTACAAGAATGAATGTTATACAAATATATGCAAATATTTTATTTAGTAAAAGCGTTTCTTGTAAGAATGTAATGCGATAAGACTTGTAATAAATTTAAAACGTCTGGCTAACGCACAAATCTGCTCAACCTCTTTCAGTTACAAGTCCTTCCTGCCAAAGGACATGAGAGCTCAAATTCAGGACTGCAGTTTCTTGACACGTAAGAGAATCCGCTTCCGCTTCAAGCGCTTCATCCAGCAGTTCAGTCAGTGTCGGACCACCGTCCGTGATCTCAAGCTCAAGTACCTCATCAGCATTGAGTCGCTGGAGAAGGCCTTCTACACGGAGACCTTCCAGGTCAGAGAGCCTTCCAGTGAGCCGTCCAGCGGACAGCTCGTCATTCTGGTCGCTGCGGACACTGGGATACAGTGGTGTCGAGAGAAACTGAAAGATTCTGATGAGGTTTGTCCCAGTGATTTGGTTTTGTGATCCGACCCATACATCTATATCTATACTTGGAGACTTTATTTCCAGAGCAATAAACATACAATAAATTATATGATGCCTCACAGGTGTAAAACTCTTGTCTTGAGTGCTGTTATTCTGTATATCTCTGATGTGATCCTGCTTTGAAATCCTTTATATTGATATGTTGAGGAGGTAATTATTCAGCCATATGAAGTAGGAAAACAACTAAAACCTGCAGGATGGTAACCTCCTGAAGACCAGAGATAACAGTCCCTGCAAGTGTACACTACCACCAGTGTTTAGACCAGTTCTCCCAGTTTGAAATGTCACCCAACCAAAGAAACCTACTAGACCGTAAAATAGGAGCAGTTCTTCAGGGAAAAAAAGACACAACACATTATGTTATAGCTATCTTATTTCTTACTAATTTTCTTTTTTTTTGTGTGATAAAATGTAGATTGAGTATATTTTTTGCTGTTTTTAATTTTATTTTAGGAGCTGCAAACCTTGTGCGACTTTCCTGACGTTACTGATATCAGTATCAAACAAGTTAGCAAAGAGGGTGCAGGAGAGAGCCGTTTGGTCACCATCAACAAGCAAGATGGCAAGAATCTGGTAACTAGACCATGAAAAACAGAGTTTTTTGGTAAGCAGAGCCCTGAGTCTACGGTGTGCTGATTGTAGTGATTTTATTTTATTATTTCAGGAGCTGGAGTTTCCCAGCTTGTCTGAAGCCCTCTCRTTTGTGTCCCTCATCGATGGGTACTATCGACTGACCACAGACGCACATCACTACCTTTGTAAGGAAGTGGCGCCCCCCAGACTTGTGGAGGCCATATCTTGTCATTGCCATGGYGCCATTTCGTAAGTACGGTCTTTTTCCCAAAAAAGTGCAGTTTGATCTCTGGGTAATTTACACGGAAAATAAACAAGTTTTATGTTTATTCCAAATAAACATGGTTCAATCGAATCCAATTAAAATGTAATTCAGCTTGATTTAATTAAACTAATTGAATGATTTTTGTATGATGTGATGACGCTTTAACTTATGGACGTTTTAACGTCAGATCTAAAAGACCAGAAGATTGTTTGATTACTGTGTTTTAATTAAAAGGCTTTGAACTCTACACAGGGGGGCTTCAGGTTAATTTGGATAAAAGCAGATATAATATAGGACCTATTAAGTAAACATTCTTGGTTCTTCATTCAAAGATCTACTTTGAAGTGCATGAATTTTTTCATCTTATTTGGGATGTTTTTGTAAGCTTAAATGAAACTTTCTCTTAAAAATTAAAGAATATTTTGATCAATCTCTCTTGAATAAACCTTTATAAATAAATGAAATCCACTCCCACTCCAGTGTAGGCATAGATGCAGATACAAAGCTTGACATTGCCCAATAAAAGACAACTCCACCTCCTCTATTTATTTCCAATAGCCTTATTGAGTTCTACAATTATAACTTCACCCTTGTTTTTTTTTTTTTTTTTTTTTTTTTTTTTTTTTTTGCAGAATGGAGTTTGCTGTCAACCGGCTTCAGAAGTGTGGAAACATGCGGGGGTTGTACATTCTCAGATGTAGCCCGAAAGAGTTCAACAAGTATTTTCTAACGTTCCCAGTTGAGGTGGGTCTGGATAGAAAAATTTATTATCTTGTATTTTGTCCAGATTTTGTCTTCAGAGGCACTTCTTATTGACGTTCATTTTATCAGTTGTTCCCTGTACGCCTTGTTCTGCTGWCTTGTTTTGCTCTCAGTATGTGGGAAATCTGTTGACAGTGATGCCAGTAGGTTTTAGTACATCAACAGGTTATGCAATGCTTTGTTGATTGGGAGGCAAAACAGCTAAATTTGGACTTGTGATATTTCTTTTTCTGTCATTAATGTCTCCCAAGAACACTTTTTTTAAAAAAAATCCAGCACAAAAAGCTTTTATACCGGAGTTCAAGTCGGGACTGTGAGCTCTCCTATGTTTCTGACATACATGTGATGTTTATCTAACACGCTGTACTTCAGAACAAAATAACATGATAACAAAAGTAAGACGTTCACTCAAACATTATCACGTTTGTCATGGTTGTCTTTTAATTCTAGACAACATATCAAACAGATGTTTCTGTGCGCACAGCTGCACTTTTAACATCCAGTTGCTAAGAAAAGTGCACCCTGCTGAACTGCTTGGTTCTGTTGTCAAAAGGGAGCGGTCATTTTTATGTTGCTACTAAGAACATTATGCATGGTCTGCCTGTGTTTTGAGAGCCCCTTTTTCAGAAACTTGCTTTTTTCTCTATTCACTAATTTGTTGAGCTGAGATGTTAAAATGATACTTGTTTATTTTCTTAAGTATCTCCAAATCGTATGCATTTGCATTGAGCTGTTCTTTTTGTGTGTTAGGTGTATGATGCTGTAGATTACAAGCATTGCCAGATCACCAGGTCTTTGGCTGGTGAGTTTAACCTCAGTGGAACCAAAAGAAACTTCAGCACTATGCAGGAACTTCTCAGCTGCTACCAAAAGGAAACCGTGCGCTCGGATGGCATCATTTTCCAGTTCAGCAAGTGCTGCCCTCCTCAATCTAAAGGTAAGACCAACATGATTTCTCCATTTTTTTGTAAGACAACTTTAGGTAGAGGTGTGTGCACGAGTCTGTGCTACCATTAGACAAAGGCACAGAATGTAAGGCTGTTACAGGTGGAATAGAGAAAGATGACTTGTGCAGCTTTTCTTTTATAATTACACAATATATTTTACACACGTAAAGCAGAAAAGTAAGCTAATTAGCTTAAGTGGAGTAGTCCTATGCTGGTTAGAAAAGCCTTTTTTTAAACCAGTGACTACTTAAGGTGTTATTTTTTTTATATTTTTGTGAGAGAAAATTGCATGTTGCAAATTTTAACTATGTACTCAACAGTCTTCGTCACATGACCAACTAATAAACATTCACATAGCTGATCATAAAGCGTCGATTGTTTGGGACCTTGCTGCAGTATGTGTAAACAGAAGTTCTTTATGTATCTGTGATGTCATTAGGTTTGTTTTGCTGCTCGGTCTGAGGAGCTTAGACCTTACTTTTATCAAGTGAATCCTTTAGGTTAGTTGTTCAAGGATTTTGAAGAAGTGCTGATATGGATACAGGAATTACTTGTGATGTGGCCTTTATCAAGACAACGTGAAACCGTTCTGGTTAGAAAAATGAACACACAGCAGCGAGGGAAGGACTGTGGCCGTCAGCACCTGAAAGTTGTATTTTTTAACATGGGTATTGTTTTGTTGTTAATAAGGAAGGCGCAGGACTTGAAACTTTTTCTGGAAGCAGCTGAAAGAGAACTTGGTCCTTTTCTGGCTTCAACGTCCACGTTGTGTTTGAGGTCTACCTCTATAGTCAGTTCTTTTGCATAAATTTTCATACTGTAGTTGTGTTGCTACAGTGGTTGTGCTTTCAACAACTTGAGAAAGTAAAATATGTCACTACCAGGGTAGATTTGAAATCGTATTGAGCAGTTTTCCCTGTGTGATGTCCGTCAATTKTTATTGATTGATCAGAAATTTAACATAGGCATGGTTAATGTGGTAAAACAGAAATGTTGACATTCCCTCTATGAGGACTTCTAAAGAGTTCTGTGATTCAGTTTCTGGTAAATTATGAAATGTCCCGGTCAGAATAAGCTTTGTTCTTGTTTTTGCCACCTCAAGAAAATGAACATTTGTCTTGGTTTTTGCTGAATGTGTAACAAGCTTTWGTCAGCACTGTGGGAACCTGTTTCAAGCAGTTGAATGAATGTCCCACACACCAAGTCCAACTAGAAAAGCCAAATTATTCAGTGTTAGTCCTTGGTTTTTCCTCTGGCTTATTTGAAAGCGTCTGTTTAACCTTGGTGGTTTCTGCAGTTGGCTGTCCCCTGAGGTTGCAAGTAACATTGACTGATTATTTTGCATACCAGAATTCAAAATCTCATGAATGTTCTTTTAAAAGACTGCTAAATAATTTTTTTGTTTATTTAAGCTGCTACGGTTTTATTTAATCTGCAGTAGTAGAATGTCCTGCAAGTTACTGCTGTAATCTGTGAGAAAACACTTTTGTTTAAAATGAGCAGCAGAGTAGGAGTAAAAAACAAACCAGGATGACTCACATGCTTGCCTCCTTTCATAATTCTACCAGAAGTGGTTTCCACTGAAAGTGATGAAAGACTACAGCTTCTCACTGAGCTCTKACTAATATCACCAGCTTTTATCCCTTATTTATTATTATTATTTTTAAGTTACACCCTGTAGTTTTTTTCTTCCTTGAACAAATCTGTGTTTTGTTTTTTTCAACTAAGATTGTTATTGTGTGTTATCAACAGAGAAGTCCTGCCTGCTCGTGTGCAGGAGCAACAAGGGTTCAGAAGTGCCTGTGTCTCCATCACTTCAGCGACACAACATTAGTCAGATGGTGTTTCACAAGATCAGGAAAGAAGATCTGGAATTTGTAAGCTTAGAGTGCATGTCTGTGCTTCCTCATTTATCCTTCCCTTGCATTTATCATTTAATAAAATCTGTGCTAGCAGAACTTGATCATTTCAACTAGGGCTGCCACGATTAATCGATTAATCGACGACTAATCAATTATTAAAATAATCGATGACTAATTTAATAATCGATTAATCGTTTTCTTTTTTTTGTTGTTCTTTACTTTTTTCTCTCCAAACTGCTTTGACASCTTCCACTGCCACATCTGCCTTTCTGTCCTTGACACACATGCACAGTAGTGGTAACTGGGGTAGGCCGTGGACGCCACAAGACATCATGCAGACAGGCTCTGGTATCATGGCTACCTGACAACGGAGCTCAAAAGTGTGGGATCATTTTAAGAAAATGAAAGAGAAACCTGTGCAATATCTGCAGAGCAGAACTTGCCTTCCACAGCAATTATTTKTAGTTAGCATATAGCTAAAATCTAACGATGGTTATATAATAGCAGCTGCATTCTGACGTGATAAGCTGAATGTTTTATATTCAATTAACGTATGATCTGATTAGTCGACTAATAGAATAAAAAATCGGTGATTAATCGATTATTAAAATAATCGTTTGTGGCAGCCCTAATTTCAACATTTAGTTTTATTATTTAAAATGCATCATTGTGAGTTTATTATTACTCAAACAAATAAGCCTTTCAGTCAGGTAAAGAACCGTTCGTAAAGAATAAATGTTTAATTTTCATGCAATTTGAATCTTCTTGTCAGATGGAGAGTCTTGGTCAAGGAACATTTACAAAGATTTTCAAAGGCATTCGAAAGGAGCTTGGAGACTACGGACAGATACACCAAACGGAAGTTGTGATGAAAGTTCTCGACCTGGCCCACAGAAACTACTCTGAGGTCTGTTAAAGCTGTGTATCAAGCAAGCACACTGGTGTTTGTATGCAAATGTTCAGGTTTGCCTGTGTAAATTTAATGCACCCACTCACTTTACAGGAAGCACATTTTGTAAATGGAAGGATGTGTACATGCTTGTTCATTTATTTGAATGATCTTTAATTTACAGTGCTTGTAGTTATTTATTGTAGAAGTTGTGTACTTCTGCTTTACTACTTGATTTTTAAAGGTAAACAAAAGGCTAATAAAGGCTCTTTCATATAACACTTTAACAAAATGACCGCAAAGACCAGTCCCCTTTTTATGCTTCCTTTGGTCGTTTATAAATCACTGATAGAACCGTCCCACTCAGGTGTGAGCTTCCAGAAATGAAGGGAGCATTGCAGAACCTTAAGAGTTACCTTTCACTTTTGAGTATAAGAGTCTTATTTATAAGGTATAAAWAAACCTTACCTTACTAAAATTTATCTCTCCAGATTACTTTTTCATACATCCATYATTTTGTTTGTTACTGCCTTGCTTCACAGCACAGTGACACATCAGGGTTGGTTCAGACTATCCGAGGCAGCCGGAAGGCTTCCAAGTTCTGGGCTGAGGTGTCTTGAAAAAGAGCCTTTAGTTTCTGAGAAAGTGTTTGTTTATTTATTACAGTGAAAAAGAGAGATACAGTACATCAAAAGCAAATCTGCTGTGGGTTACAAATCTTTCAAGACAATCTGAAAGTGGTTAATGAGCAACTAGACTTAATATCCTATTTATGACGAAGAAATTCACTCGATCTTTGGCTGTTTTCTGAGAATGCTTTATGTATTGTGTGCTTATTTCTTCATTCATTTACATTTTATTCCTGTCCTTCAGTCTTTCTTTGAAGCAGCCAGTATGATGAGCCAGCTGTCCCATAAACACCTGATTCTGAACTACGGAGTGTGTGTCTGTGGAGAAGAGAGTAAGTTAGCTTTAAAGCTTTACATTCTTACATTTTACTGTTGGTAATTTGTCAGCATACCCCGTAAAATCTACTTGTATAACACTGTTATATCTGGTAACCATGGTGGATGGTTAAAATATAAACAAATGTAATGTTGACCAACAATTTAGAGGTAAATATTATCAAAGAAGTAGGGATGAGCACCGTAATATTGTTTTTCCATTGTCCATTTTCACAACAACTCACTTCGACTCTACTCAGGTCTACACAGCCTCTGTGGTTTTGTGCGTGAAACTTCAAGACACAACACAGCAATGAGAAAATAAGAGAAATAAAATAAACACTCACCATACTCTGCCAGAATTTCCAAAAAAGCAATGGTCGAGTCTATATTCTCTCCACCGGTTGGACTTTGTAAATCATGGCTCTGCCTGAATTCTGTCGTCAGCCGCAGTCTGCTCCTCCTCAGAGTACCACGCTGTGGGTTTACACCACCATTCTATTGAATATATTAAATATTTATATTTTAAAAAGTAAATTACAAATACGAATGATGTGGTTGTAAGACAGTAATGCAGACACACATGATTGACGTTGCTCTCTGGCCAATCAGTGGCCTGCACACCTTCAGCTTGCTCAAAACCACGGCTGATGAAGTACTAAGAACTGAGCTGGTAGCAGTATGGATTGAAGCTGCACCGAGTCGAGCCCATAGATTTAAAAACACGAGCAGTGATGGAACAGAGCCTTCTGGTTCTCACCAATGCAATGCCCCTATTTCTGCTAACTGGGGGTATTAGTGTTCCTTCGTTTACACCAGTCCTATGGATCAGTGTGAAGCTGTGGGGCATATTCTGCCGTAAAGTTGGCTGTAGTTTCCACTCTGTAATCCTATCCTGTCTGGCAAAGCACCATGGTAGTTAGGACAGAACATGGCACATTATGGCTACCTAGTGATCTTGTTAGCAGAATAAAAACATTAAAAATTCATTTGTTCAGTTCATACCTTTTTAATGAGTCTGATTATACAAAAATAAAAAGTCACTGCCCATCCCTACAAAGATTGCTATCTTTTCAGTAAATTAAAAAAAAAGAGAATTTCAAAGTTAACTTCAAAGTTTTAATGGATCAGTTGTTAATAAAAAGTGCAGAAAAAAGAGCCACATTCTTGTTTTTTTTTTTTTTTTTTAATATTGGGCATGATGTGGCATTGTGTTTAAAACTTGTTAATGTCAAAATGTTTTGCTGGAATAATTGGAAGTTGTTGTTTATTTTCATTCCAGACATTATGGTGCAGGAGTTCGTGAAGTTTGGCTCTCTGGACACCTACTTGAAGAAGAACAAGAACTCCATAAACATTCAGTGGAAGCTTGAAGTAGCAAAGCAGCTGGCCTGGGCCATGAACTTCCTGGTACAAACTGGTGTTCTGTCTCATCCAAACCCATAACTAGTCTGGCACTGAGTATTGATGAATATCAGCGTCGATGTTTCGCAAATCTTTAGACTTTATGACTTCTTTAAAAGACAAAATGTTTAATTAACAGAAATTGAAGTAAATGTTTTTCAGTGTTGGGAGTAGATGATCACAAGATCCTTTCTTTGTTCCTGCAGGAGGAAAAGCATCTTGTTCATGGGAATATATGTGCCAAAAATGTTCTGCTAATAAGGGAAGAGGACAGAAGAGCTGGAAACCCGCCTTTTGTTAAACTCTCTGACCCTGGAATCAGCGTCACTGTCCTCCCCAAAGAAAGTGAGTTTCAGTCTAAGAACAGCTGAATTGTCATAACCTTTTTTAACCAGCAGGGGGCAGTAAGTTACCGCCTAAAAGAACCTGTCTCTATGGAGATGCATCACTTTTTGTGTTGCTCATCAAAGAATAAAAAAAGTGCAAATTGTTCCAACGTTTTGACTTTTTTATATTGTGTAACTTTTAGTCAGTTTTTAGAGAGATTCATTTAGTTGGTGAATCAAATTAAACTGAATTTTTGTCGGCAAATAGCATATACTGTAAAAAAAAAATCAAACGTCATTATTGTTTTTGTTGCACTGTTTTTGTTTGTCATCAGTCCTGATCGAGAGGATCCCCTGGGTGCCCCCTGAATACATCAAGGAGCCTGTGAAACTGAGCCTGGCTGCTGACAAGTGGAGCTTTGGCACAACATTGTGGGAAATTTGCAGTGGAGGGGAGAAACCTCTAGCAACACTAGACAACTCAAAGGTAGAGTTGAATGATATTATACCATTTGGGAAATCTACCTGCGTGCTAAGTTAATAGCCAAATTTAATTTGGTTAATTGCCTCGTAACCTGCCCGAGCAGAAAAAACATGTTTTCATGTTTTACCGTTGGTAACTTGGGGTCAGGGTTTTGCCATTTGGAAACTCCTCAAAGCCGAAGCCTCGATTTCTCACATCACTACAAGAATGTTTTTTGTTTACTACAGGTTCACTACAAATCTAATTTATGCTTCACAGAAAATCTTGTTCTATGAGGATCACCATCATCTTCCTGCTCCAAAGTGGACAGAACTGGCGAATCTGATTACCAGCTGCATGGACTACGAGCCCACKTTCAGACCCACGTTCCGCGCAGTGATTCGTGACCTCCACAGCCTCTTCACACCAGGTTTGTGTAAAAACCGCAACCTGCCACATTCTTTGTATCAAGTTTTAAAATGTACCCTAACAATACGAGTATGTATTATAACGTCTTAGGTAGGTAGGTAGGGATGGGTACCAAATTCGATACTTTTTTAAGTACAGACCGAATTCTGTCGGTACGATCGAGAACCTATTCACGTAACATCAAACGGTACCATGTTTCGGTACCTAAACGCGTCATTGCTACCGTATTGGCATAAGAGTGGTGAGTTTTCCATGCTTGTCCTGATCACAGCATCACGCAGGAGTGTAATGACGTCAGCAGCCGCTGGTTCAGTAAACAGAGCACGGTCTGAACGTAGCATGAAAGTGAGCCTCGCAGCTCCTATACTCACCGAACAGACCGCCTCTGAATTATCTCATGGATTAATTATCTTGTGAACACGACGTTCGCTTACTCAAAGTAAATAAAGTACTAGGAATGCGCRATATAAACGATATACGGTAGAAACTATATAAATTTGTCCTATGATAGAGATCTGTAGTCAACCGCGCAATTTTTTTGATGATGTAACCAGSTGGAGTCAAAACAGAGGAAGCGGGGAGCAGCATGGCTGAGAGCGCAAATAAAGAGGGAGGAAAAAAAACATAACTTATCCGGACCTGTTTTGGGTGTGTGAAAATGAACGCCAAACTGTTTACATGTTTACGTGACGACGCGTGCTCCTGACCGGCCACACTGCCTGCTGCGGGAGGAGCGCACGCCGCGGCACATGGCGCAGCTAGGCGACTGTCAGTGCAGGTGAAGTAGTGCTCCAGGACACACAAAAGCTCCCTGAGTCTGGACCTCATTTCTCCTGCGGTCATAGCGCGACGACGTACGGCCGAATGCGCGCGCGTTCGAAAGCGCAACTATAACTCAGTCTTTACTGTCTCCTTGCACAGCGGGGAAGCGCTGTGGGAAAGGCTGACAGTCAGACTGTCTTTCCAAAAAAAAAGTAAAGCATAAACGGGATGATTGTTTCACCCCGCCAGAGCGCGCACAGATTAAACATGTGGAGTGCAGAAAAATTAATC